CTGTAATTTTATGCCATTAGTCTATTTTTATAGTTTCTAACTTAATTTAGATGAGTTTATGCTGGTTTTGTTTATGTAGAGATGTGAAGGCCCAGTGTCACGGGGTGGGACTAGCTCCAATAGCACTTGTCTCGGAGGCGGAATCTAGCTGGTCCCCGTGCGGCACTTAGCTCAGAATTAATCCCATAAACCCGAACCAAGTCAGCCTTCCCCAACACTTGGCGTGGCCCTCTAACTGGGCTCGAGGTTAGCAACACAAATACAAAGGTAGGAAGTTGGGAGAAGAAGAGAATTTATTAAGATCACAAGGAAGTGTACAAGAGCATGAGTACACAGCCCCTCTAGCACTCACTCACTTAGCAGCTCACTCTCTATATCTCCCTCCTAAGCCTACATTATTCTAGAACAACCCATCCTAGAATTATGTACAAGGCCCTAGGAAGATCCCAGGTCGGGCTTGGCCCAACAAACCCATCCAGACCCCTGTCTGGTACTGTTCCCGCGCGCCCAGCAGCTTCTAGAGAGTTCTGGACCGCTCCAGTCCGCTGCAAAGGTGTCGACACCATAATCACGTGCATTATCCACGTGTCGACACTCCTCTCGCTGCTGGCATGGCATGCATTGTGGACGCCCTTGGCCGCTCCTGCACGCGCCTGTGTGTCTCGATCGCAACCCCATGCCACGACCTTGGCATTGACACTGCCAATTCATGCAAGGCCCGCCCCTTGAGTGTTCCATGTCGCGCTCGCACCCGTGTCTGTGCCTGTGCTTGCTCGCCCGTGGGTGTCGTGGCTGCCGCCCTGTGCCACGATGGCCTTGACTTGGGCCCTCGAACTCGCGTGTCGTGACACCAGGCTGATAATGAAGATATGGCTGTCATGAACCATGTCAGGTCTGATGATTGGGTACTCGTCTGGAAAACCCTCCATGGTTTTACTTTTACTTTGCTTTTTATTAGTATCATTATTGATTTGGTTTATGGAGGTTTGGAGATACAGTTCTTGTTGGGATTTATCCTTGTTTTGGGATCTTGTGTTTATAGGTTGTGATGTTCGATGAGCATGGATTGGATATAGGGTCTGAGCGATTTGCTGAATTAGTAGGAGATGCAGGGAGTAACGTAGGGAACTACAACTCACTAAAAGGTTGCTGACATTGATGTATTCATTTATCTATGGAATTGGATTTGTTCTTGGTATCAATATTTCTCTGTTCTGTGGCAAGAAT